CCAACTTCAATGGCTTCAAGCGCAATTTTTAGTGATTTCTACTGTAATACTGCCTGAGAACATAATTGTTCCGAGGCTACATAATGTTATCTGCCGTAAAGGAAAGCGTCTGTGAAGTGAGTCAACTACTTGGTGAAAATCCGGGAATCCTATTCCATGGTCATGACATAGAAGAAGCCAGTGGAGCTGGTTGCGGTTGCTAAATATCAGAGGTGACGTTGGCGAGCGCTTGGTAGGTGTCATTCTATTACTGAAATGCTTTTCAATACTAACTTGCTGAAGAAGGCGAGAAACTATCCAACCAGATACACCACAGAACCACTGTAGAAGACTCTGTCTCTTGATACACTGTCATCATCAATTATCTTATTTCGTGCATCAAGATTTCGGCAGGTTTATCGAGATTGTGGTCTGATCGATCCCCACTGCAAAGCTGTCCCCGTCTCATTGGCATATCCATTTCCAGCTGAACTGTTTCTGTCAGCTTTTGGTACAGGGACTATTGTAACGTTTAATCTTTACTGCATGAGCGAAGCCAGAGAGTATCCCCTTCAGGTAAATCCCGATTTTGCGCCATCCAGTATGGCTCAAGATCGTACGCGTATGCCAGTGATGTGTTCCACTAGCATGTGGCAATATCTGTCGTGCTGTCTTCTTCAGCCCTGTCAAGATGACAAAGAGGGATACCGATAATGGGTTAGGTTTATTCTCATGGTTAGGTTATCCCTTCAGCTGGTGAGACTCAACTAGCCTTGCATTAGTGGCTCTAGGCAATCTAGCCAGATATAAACTGCGTTCGGCTTTTAGCAGCCAGAGGATCTTGGCATGAGACTAGATTCAAACCTCGAATTTCTGGCGGGCTTTGTGCTTAGCAAGAAGTTTATTTTGTTTGGCAGCCAAGTAGCTATCAGTGTGCACACAATTACTTTGTAGTAGAAAACTGTGCTTAATCATCGCCAAGAGCCGCTACTCGGTCGTTTCAAAGACCTGACTAATGCATGTTATGCGTCTATGCGTAATGCAATATGTGCTATCCTACTCGCTGGTTCGGAAAGTATTGGAACGCTACATAAAACGTATGCGCTATTCACCTTCTGGAATAGTCCGAAGTGGCATGAATGGACCCTATTCCAAAGAGCGAATAACGCATACAATTTATGCAGCGTTCCAATACTTCCCGAACCAGCGAGTATCATACTTCTGGATGCTACTTGGCAGCGCTTTGCGTTCTCTACCGCTACCTTACCATACTCTACAGTGTACTCTCTGAACAAAGCCTGAACTTCCATCTATGATGTAATAGCAAAATGTACCAATGCAGGTTGGGGAAATAACAGCATAATACTATAATGTAACTAGACAATAATTGTGTGGATAGCTGTCTGGAACAGGTACAGAAACAGTTGTCAAAACAGGTGTGAAATGACTGTCAAAACAGCTTCCGAAATGGCCATCAAAAGGTTGAAATGACTCTCCAAATGGCTGTCAAGATGACCGTCAAAACAGCTACTGAAATGGCTGCTGCAATGGCTGCTGCAAAGGCGCTACTAAAATTCTTGTCAAAATATCCTCTGAGATGACCGTTGAGACTGCTACTGAAATTGCTGAGAAAAACTGCTGCTGCATGGCTGTCAAAATAGTTGTCGAGATGATTGCCAAAATAACTATTGCACGGGTATAAATGCTATCAAAATGGTTCCCAGAATAGAATCCAAAACAGCAGCAGCCGTTATTGTAACTATGGCAGCAGCAAAGTATCTGGGTTGGGGCTCTCCGGCAGTCAAAGAATGCCCCTCTAGCTAGGTTCAACTACTGGGATCTAGTCCAGAAGTATACTAGTGCATACCAAAGTACTGCATACTACATATATTCTGCATTAGTCAGGTGTCCGGATACTTTTGAAACGACCTAGTATGCAAGGCCAGTTGAGTCTCACCAGCTGAAAGGAGAGGAGCGTCAAGAAATTTCGGAGAGAGACGGCCGACGCACTGAATCATAAGAAGCAAGTAACCTAGTTGGAAAGTAAGCGTATCACGGCAGCCTACTTTCCAGACATTGAGAATTAAGGGGTCCAGGAAGAAGAACAATTATCTTCCACTCTGCTCTGTCTTTGATACCTCGATCTAACTAAGAGGGTTGTTTGTGGCGAAGTACCCGCGCAACCACCAATGCTGCCGTGCGTAAATTACCTTCAACACTCAGGACACTAACTATACGAGTACAGTACAAAAGCTTGTTACGAGACTAAGTACAATGTGATAATCCGTTGAAATAAATGCTATTAGAGAACGGTGCATGTAATGCCTTTTTTCAATACTTCCTTGAATGCTGCCCTCCGGAGGTTTCCCTGCCAGATCTGCCCTCAATAACCCAATTACATACTTCTTTTTCTTTTCCCAAATGCGTAAGCCAACCAAAACTCCAGTGAAGCAAGCGACACAATCTCGCTCCCAGTTCGCCTGTGCTGCAAGCCTCATGCCAGCGTCTCATGAGGACCTTCTTTCGCTGTCAATCTTTTGTAAAATTTTGTCATTACATTAACCCTCTAGGCTGCTATCGTTGCCATGACCCATGCGCCCAACGCCAATGCTGCCAAGAGCATCCCCACGATCACAATGATAAGAGCTTTGCGGTCCAGGCGCCTTAACAAGTCACATCTCTCCACATGATAATGGTTATATTCCTCCTGGTCGAGCTCATCATAAGCGTTTGTTTTCGGTAAAAGTCTGAGAATTGATTGGAATATGGAATCAGTTGACTGTGAGGTCTGACAAGGCGTAGGAGAAGGTGAGAAGTAGGATTTTGGCTGGGGCTTGCAATCGAGATCTAGCATTAGTGGTTGAGGCCTCCGCCGTTTATCCATCAGAGTCCGCAGCCTAACAGTCTCTTTATTAGTAACAGTATCATAAAGTCATGCGGATTAAGATTTTACCTCTTCGAGAATTTCTGGGGGTGAAAATATGGAAGCCGCTTAACGCCATGTGGGTAATATGCTCGCTGACTCTCGTTATAGGTTGGCATCGGAGGAAACTTAGTGGTATTTTGTTCATGTGTATCTGGTGGATTATTGAAGACATCCCTATCGATAACAATGCTGTAGTCCTGGTCATAGTGTGCGTCTGTTGATTTCAGATCTCCATGTGAAACTTGTGTGTATGGGTATGTATTGATAGTGAGAAGAGTTCGATATTGGGTATTCTGTCCCTTCGCTCCCGGTTCACTAATTGGGGAAAGCAATGAAATTGTCTGGAGCTGCCGGACGCTCGAGAAGACTATTGGACTGATGCTAATCGTATCGCTAGAAACAATAACTTCCCGAACAGTGTTGTTTTGCGTAACTTTCGACATTTTGAGTCTTTAAACGAAGAGAATATTTTAGGAATGCTGTCGCTTATCAATTCCAGGTATCCACACTGGAGGTATAAGAAAAGATGGTATGTAAAAGAATGAAAGTTCGTCCTCACGCGAAACTGGCGCACGAAAAGAGAGTAACAGTAACAACAGTTACTGGAAAGACAACCACCAGGGTATGGATAAAAAAAGAGCGAATGTAAACAAAAGATTGGAAAGAATGAGCGATGGAGGGAGTTGCACACTATTATAAAAGTGAATAGATAGAAGACTAGCGACCCAGGCTGATACCGCACAATGCTGACAATTGTCGGCATCCTTGAATTCTGCCAGGGGTCGAACGTATTGGAGGTTCACGCCGGTGTATGCAAATCATCAGACAAGCTACTTCAGATTTCAGGGGCAACAATAAACCAATAGGTGAGCAGCAACATAACAAATTGAAAACATTTCCCAAATGTGCTTTGTGCGCAGCTCGGGATTAAGTACATTGCTGATACTCCACTCATCATGCTTCAGAACGTCCTGTACAAGTGTGCTATATGACCACTTAGGCCGGATCAGCATCCGTTGTAAACGTTTGATTTGGCAGTCAATAAACAAGTTCATCAAGTGAAGCTGCTTGAGATACGGCAGGGAATGTTGGCAATTGCTAATTTCGGATACGAACGCGTTTTCTGACACACTCGCTCCCTTCTTTGTTCTCTAATATATTTACGTATATCGTTTGAAAATCAAGTCGAATAGGATTGAGATAGCCGTTCCAATGCTAGTCTGGTTGATGCACAGTTATTCAGTTGAGATAGGCAACTGCAAAGTGGCAGAAGGTTGTTGACCGCGAATAACTTCTCCTGTGGCTCCCAGGACGGCATTGCCGTCCAACACTGCAATCAGTGATTGTGCCTGACCTTGTTTCCCTGGCAATTTTTGAAGTGACTGTTAGCTTTAAACTGGTGTATCACCTGTAGATTTCTACAATAATCCAATTGAATAAAATAGAAATATTCAAGAATCTGCTTAATTTTGCAATTTAGTAGGCTGTTATCCTATAAAATTTTCGCTTATACTCATCAATTCTTGACAAGTGCTTCTAGTTCTTACTTCCTTTATATCCAGGATGTCCCAGTAATGGATTAGTGTTCGCAGAAGTAATAACATTATTCGTTTTGCCAGGCTGACTACCATAGTCCCTCACTACTTGGACATCTTAGATGTAAAGAACCAGAAGTATTGTGATCGCGCCTCGTAGAAGATGGTGCAGATGTTGGTGGTGCTGTTTTGGAGATACGTAACTCCCTCCGTGAGAAGCACCCATGATTGAGTCGGGTCAGTCTTCAAGCCACTATACAGCGGTCGTCTGGTTCGAGAATCCGACCGAGAAAGGATACCCTTCATGCTGTGCTATCAGAAAAAAAAAAATAAGGTTCTGAATGTAGCAGAAATGGAAAATGAGGATGGGTCATCCGTAAGGCCGAATTCTATCAGAGATCGCAATAGAATGAAGAAGGGTACGAGAGCATTAAAAGGTGTGCAGGCCCTGATATGGCATTTATCAGAAACTTTTGAAACTATCATAAAAGTAGCGTATGGCTAGTAATGCCATCAAAAGAACTGTACTTATTGGATTAAACCCGAAACATTCAGCAATTGCCCGAATGGCTCAATGGTAGAGCGTGTCACTCGTAATGACAAGGTTCTCGGTTCGATTCCGAGTTCGGGCAGCTATCATTTTGCTTTCGTGGCTGCATTCCTAGTACATGTGCGAGTACGACCCTACTGGAAATCATAAGCGCTGGCATCCATCATACAATAATCTGGTTGCACTTCTTCTCGTGTCCAGACTCTGTTGCTCTAGCCCCTGTAACAGTCTCACAGATGCTTAACCGTCCCGCTACACTGTGATGCCTCCTTCGTTAGGCATATTCGTTCTCACCTAAGTACGGAGGACTGGCAAAAAATAAGGTATTTCGACCTTCCATTTCGTAATAGCATATCTTGGCGCATACTGCAACGTTATGCAGCGTTCAATTTCAGTTGCATAAACAGTTTGTACTATATGTACTAGACAGAAAAATAAGTATTTGGACAGGGGATAATGCATAATATGCGCTATGCGGTATTTGGCGGAAACTAGCATATTTTCGTATACTTGGCAGTAAAGAATAGGTGTAAAAGTCCAAATTCATTATGTCAGCTGTCCAAATTTCATCACCTTATGTAAGAGAGGACTAGTATTCGGACAGCTGACGTGATGAAATTTGGACACCCTATCACGAAATTTGGACTAGTCTTATAGGCTATCACTAGCCAAGCATACGAAAATATGCTAGTTTCTGCCGAATACTGCATGGCGCATAAATATGCATTTCTCCCTCCAAATACTTATTTTTCTGTCTAGTAGCTCGGGGGTGCTGGAGTTTTCTTTGGAAAAATTGGCGAACTATGCAGCGCCAAGGTACTCATGTGCAGTTTCGAGGTACTATGATAGCTAGTAAAATATGTATTCTGACATAGCGCATAATGTGCATTACTACCCCTGTCCGAATACATATTTTATTGGCTAGTACGTACCTGGTTGCTATGGTACTCGAAAACATGACATGGTTTAATGGCGGCGAAATTTTTGTATGAGAAACCATACAATTTTTTCGACATATAAACATGCTACCACCGCAGCCATCAAAACTCTCCCACCCGAAATTCTGTAGAATCATATACCTGGAAAGAAAAAACTGACCACCAAAATCTACTCAAAAGACTCCCGCAATTGTAAGATACACTGGCTAGCAGGCAAGCTGTCTTGACTACAGGGAAGCGCTACTTTTGCTATCACGGCTACCATCATGGCTGCCCGTCACAGCTGCTTGTTCCACCTGCTATTTTGGATTCTATTTCGGGAAGCATTTTGCTTTTATATCCGTGCCGACAGCCATTTTGACTGCTATTGCATCAATCATTTCAACAGCCATTTCAGCATCCCTTTTGATGCATTTTGGCAGCTGTTTTGACAGCCGTTTGATAGTCAGTTGTGCAGGAGTTTTGATAGCGATTTCAGAAGTTGTTTGACGGTCATTTCGGCAGCTGTTTTATTGGCCATTTCACACCTGTTTTGACAACGGTATCTGTACCCGTTCCAAACTATCATCCCCACTATTATTAAGGGTTATCAGCTTTGCGTCACGTAACCGTTACGTGAGGTTACATGACATAAGCAAATGCTCTAATTGGCTGATTTCGTAACGTGAGACAGCCGATCTTCGTTACGCAACGTAACCATGATCACGTAGCCAAATCGTCGCGTTACGACCATAACCTTGCGTAACTTTGGGTAACGCCAAGGATATGCGCCTGGTTTTTAGCTGACTACAGGGGCCTTTGACCAGTCTTTACCTAAATCAGCAACACATGGATGCATATGCATAAGCACGTGTCTACAACTTCATGAGCATCACCAATCTACGCATGAAAGCTCTCCAGTTTCTACCATCATGAGCCAGCAACCGTCTGCTACAACCACAGCAAGTTCACGAGCTGTTACTCCACGCTCTGCTACCCCCTCTGGTATCTGAATTAAGTAGCATAGATATGGCATGAGTCTCGATTGCTGTCGTGACCACCTGTTCGATTTTGGCTCGCTTCGATATGCGGGGCATGTTGATGTTACGGACGTGACGGTAACGTAGGTTACGCGGGGGACATCAGCGACCCTCCTCTCATTTGGGCTTAGCGGGTTGGCAGGGGTTACCTAACGGAACGGAACGTAACGCAAAGCTGATAACCACTATTATGTGTCTCGTTACAGTACTGTGCCATGAATATGCTACTTTAATTGCTGCTTGCATAACAGCAGACTAGGGGTTGTCACTGACTTACTCGAATTGGCTACCGGAAAGTACCACTACTACTAGTACTCGCTGGTTCGGAAAGTATTGGAACGCTGCATAACAATACTTTCCGAACCAGCGAGTAACTGAGGCGCTTTTAGTGCCTTGGCCCCTTCGTTCATTGGCCTATTGACTGGTACGGTAGTCTCCAGTGCCAACGTAACGCCTGTTACGAGTAAGTAGTGCTCAGTTAGTAGCCTACTTTGCTGCATACCCCCGCATTTTTTCACACCATATGCATCACTCGTGTGTTCACATCCCGATTCATGTCAACATTCAGATGCATCTACAAACAAAAATAATGCATAGATATCCTATTCATATTTATGGGCGTCAATTAAGAATCATAAGCATCATGATAGCTTTTACATCGCTCCTAAGCTTTTGTTGTATTATAGTTCTTCGAATTAGATGAGGCATGTTGCAAAAGATTAAAGACGATACGCATATGCGGTGATGTGTAGGGGCATAAGTTTGTGGTATTTCGCATTACTTACTAAATTTCTCAAGTCACACACAGTACAGTCTACCCTTGCTATACCGGATGGGCTTTGCCTGCGTTCCCATACAAATCACCCTTGCTATTCCGCATGCCCGAACAATTCCGGACCGGACAGAAACCTCCAAACAAGTACCCCCTGTCTCCATACAAATAATATCTGCTATCATATACAGGATACACTAATCCAAATACATCTTAGACTACCCATTTCACACTTGGCTGCCATCACTGCTGTTACGGCTTACCGCAACTGCGGTCGGTGAATGTACGCGCGCATATGCGATGCAGGCGATATGCGGCAGCCGGAAAGCGTCGCAGTCGCATAATATGAGTGCTATATGAGCTACGCAGAGGACTAGCGAGTATCGCTAGTCAAGTGTCTTTTTGGCCTGGCGGACGGTAACTCTCTGCGCTTACCACCTTCGTTACAACTGCTGCTACCACTGCTGTCACTGCTTCTGCTATTGCTGCTGCTACTGCTGCTACCATCACCTGCAAAAATGTTGTTCAAGTAATGGAAACTGGGCACTTCGTTGCTTCTTTTCCATGTATGATCATTTCCGAGATTAATTGTTAACCATTTATCACTTTGTTTCAAAAATATTTGACAAAGTAGATACAGCTACTGGCTGGCCTAAAATAGTAGATTAGTAGTCTCGTAACCAGATAATAGATTAGATACTTAGGATATTGAAGTTAAGTTAAAGTACAGTAATCTTACCAATTCATCTTGAAAATGTTTACCAAATTCACTTGACTTTCTTTAGCATATTTTGGTTCTAGTCAACGTCTATGCTTCTCAAGCACACTTAAGGCCCAACGACTTTCTAGATTTTGTGAGCAACGTGTATTGATATCTTTGGCTGGGCATATGAACAAGTTGATGTTCACTTTGTTCATTTCCTAATTTCAGTAATTATTTGAATTTACAAAATTTTGTTGTCCCCTTGTCTGCCAAGCATTTTACATACTGGACGAACAGTGCTAGATTTTAGCAATCTGGTATAGCAAAGGTAGACTATAGTTCACCCTGGCTTGCTATGGAACTCGGCCCTCCACCGCGATTCCTACTGCGATTAGAGACCTTCCGCAATGCCAACTATCTGAAGTAGATGGAAACTCCCCATTTCTAAGTCTAGAACTTCGAACTGCTATAGCACCTCAACTAACAATTGGTTTTTACTGTTAAAGGTATCTATTGATAGCTGAAAGTCTCTACTTTACCTTAATACCATGAGTCCTTTCAGAAATGCACAAGTTGCATTGGCTAATGAGAGATCAGGGGAGGGGTTAAAAACTGTCCTGCTAAGCCAATATCTTGACACCGATGTAACACATTCTGATGCGACAAATGAGGTGTTACTACTGCATAATACTTCAAGCAGTGCTTGTATTACAAGTAGGTTGCGTCGTCATGCCAGATACAAGACTTTGCTATCTCCTTGAAGAGTTCCATCAATAAAACTTCAACGTGTAGTATACATGGGACAATTATTTTTCTGATATACAACTTTTGCATATTGCATCAGCTTTTCTGAATTTAATGGGACATGATCAAATGCCAAAAGATGCCTCTGATATGGAACAATAAAATCCAGTAAGGAATTTGTATTACTGATGATTTCAATTTGCTCTCCTACTAATTGGTGGGGCATTATCAATTGCAAAGTCTTTTGTAGTCTACAAGGTAACGATTATGTCTACACTCCTGCTTTTCTGACCCCTGTCAGTTTAGAATTTTGCGGAAGGTCTTTTGAGCCATCTAGACCACACCCTGGTCAAGTGGCGTTTTTCACAAGTCTAGACGGCGTTGCGGAAGGTCTCTATTAGCGTTTTACCGAACTTCCGAATCTGGTAGTAAGTATCCTTGCAACCTACTCCACCCAGACTTCTATATTCAGCAGTCATCTGGTTGGAGACAGCCATATGCCCACGATCAACATAGCGTTATGAATAGTCTGACTGCATACGCCCCGTACGTTATGATGTTCACAAGGCCAATGTTAGATGAACGATTGGATGCCGTACTAGATTGAATGTATGGCTGACCTTATGGTCACCTGAGGTTTGCTGTTGATGTGCTGTGGATAATAGTGGAGTTCTCCTTCGAGTATCTTGCGGTCGAAAGATGTGAGCGGAGCATGTATCAACAATCTGTTGCTTGCAATTGCAAAGTGCCACTGTATTACAAATCCTATGTAATCTCTTGTTCTTTTGCCCTCGACTATTAATCACTGCACTGACTACTTGATAGCATTCGGGTCGTATAATATTTGTTTGCCGTAGGCGCTGATGCACGGGGCAGAGATCAGTCAGAAATAAGGATAGGTACAAG